ATTTATAAATTATTTATTAACAAATCTAAATTATTTATTGCTTACTTTTAAGTTTTAACATGAAACAATATTTATATATTTTCAATTTTTGTTATGGTTACACTCAAAACTTTATAATTACTACATGTCTACATATTATGTATCTACTTAGGTAAGGAAAAACTACAATTAAAGAAAAATATAACTAAGTACTGAAAATTAAAATAGTATAATGATTACCTATAACTTATGTATTAAATGTATAATATACTAAAATATATTATTCTAAATTTTCCAAATTTACAAAATGTTAAACTTAATATTTAAAACTTTATTTTTCTGGCTTTGATTGCAGAAAAATTATCAATAACTGAATCAAAATCAACTGTCTTTGTGATCTCTTTTTCGATTGACAGAAGTGACAAGTTAGTGAGTCTGTTTTGGTTCATCGTGGATCGTAAATACGTTTTTATTAATTTGAGTTTACTAAAACAACGTTCACACGATGCGGTTGTACAGAGCAATGTTAGATACAAACGAATAGCAATACAAATATTTGGGAATATGTTAGTCATTGAGTACTCGTGTATTAAATGCAGAATGTTTAATGGAGTTTGATTTTTAAGGTCAGGTAACATACCTAATGCAAGGTTTTTAAAGTTAATAATTTCCGAAGTAAAGTCTGAAGGTTTTAAATCGTTATCATATTTTATGGCTAGGTCAGCAGCAGCTTTAATTAAATAATTTGAATCTCTTTCAACGAGATCAGCTCCATTGAAAAATCCAAAGTCAGAAGATACTTGATTAAGCTTTTCAAATCTCCAGTTCATATTCATAGTTAATACATCACAAACATTTTTTAAATTAATAATACAAGTTGTTTTTGAAGTCGCATTCCAGTCGTCTGTAGATTCTTCAAAATCCAATAGTTTTATTCGTTTTATTCTTTTTTGAGGAAAAACAGTTGCAATACCCATTTTTTTAGTTTTCTTCAGCACTTTGAAATAATGTTTCAAGTCTGTTATTTCGCAAATCGGTGATTTCATCAATTAATCCTTTAATTAGATTTGCAGCTTTATTTATTGTTAATGATTTCGATTGTAGACAAACATTAACGCGATCAATGCTTGAAAGAATAGCATTCCAAATAGATAACAAGCAAATAAATTCATAGTCAATGTATAATAGTAAGCTTTTAGCCAAAAATATTGATTCAGCATTACCTTTTCCAATTATATCATATTATTAAGGGCATTTTTTACTTCAGGTAGTTGTGTAAAAATCGCTTTTATAGCTACAGATTTAGAAGACCATCTTGTATCAGAAAATGGTTTAAGTGTGAGTTTCAATGATTTCAATTCTTCCCAACGAGAAGGTGAACCCGAAAAAAAATTGAATAATTGTTGAATCTTGCCAAAAAAGTATTTCATTTGAACATTTGATGATGCAGCGTTGACACCAGCCAAATTTAAACAATGAGCAGTACATGGTACGAAAGTAGCCAAACTATTTTTTCCATAATTTTTGATTGCACACCATTATATTTCCCTGCCATATTTGCTCCATTATCGTAAGCTTGGCCTCTGCAGTTTTGTATATTTAAATCATCATCAGAAAACTGAGTTAATATTTCACTTGCTAAGCCTTTTCCAGTTTTTTCATGTGATAAAATAAATCCTAAAAAACTTTCTTCTATACAAACTTTTCCATTAGAAATATGTACATATCGGATAATTTGACTCATTTGTTCCTTTTTGGAAACATCAGGTGTGCTATCGAACATAATAGTAAAATATTTTGCAGACTTGATTTGATTTATTATTTTTTCTCTGACCTTTTTAGATAATAAAGAAATAAATTCATCTTGAATGTGATGAGAAAAATAAGATACAGAGCCTTTCCTATGGGATTCAATATGTTGCCTTAATACTCCATCAGATTTACTTATTAAGCTAATGAGATTTAAAAAATGTCCCGCTGCTGGATTACCTATTTCTTCAGAATTTCCTCTTAAGGCTAGATTATTATTTACACAATAAAGTAACACATCTAATATTATTTTTAAAACATGTCGCCACTTTTCTTGTTATGATTTTATTTCTTTCTGCAAGGAGTCATCAATACCCCCTCCTTTCATAACTTTATTTTCAAGCATTTTCCATTTTAAAAAATGTTTTATATGGTCTTGAGAATCTTCATGTTCTTTTAAGCGTTCCATTTTTTTCCAACACGAAAAACCTCTTTTGGAATCACTTAAAGCAGTAAATTGGTTACCAAATAATAGACAACAAAAGCAAAAAATTGCGTCATTTGGTTGAGAATACATCATCCATGATCTTTCAACACTTTCTCCATTAGGTAATTTTTTGTAAAACCAATGGTTTTTAAAAGGCTTATGTTCCATTTTTCCACGATCTGGGCCATGTTGAACAAGTATGCATCTTAACTTGTCATTTATAGTTGGCCACGATTGAGGATTATTAAATATTATTTCAGGAGGTTTTAACACATTTATTTTTTCATCAACAAATGATTGTTTCTCAACTATACCATGTGATAAATCATGATCAACTAAAATATTTTCATCCAACTCTACAGTCTCTACAGGTATTTTTTGAAAACTCAATTCGTTGGTATTTGATACTACAACCACTATCAATTTCAATTTCAATACTTTCATTTATTTTTTGATTTTCAGAAGCCCCATCTTCTTCTAATGAATCAATTTCGTTTTTAACGTTGAACCATTTACTTTTAGATTTCTCCCATTGTGCTGCTAGTTCTTGAGCTTCTGCTTCTTTTTGTTTCTTTTTATTTCGGAAATAGGAACCTGGTCTTTTTGACATTTTGAGCTTTAAAAATAAATAAGATGAAGAAAGAAGTTTAATAAAAAAACTATCCAAATCAAATATATGAAACTAAACAAAAAAGCTTAAACAAAACAGAGGAGAAAGTACACCTATCAAAAATATCTATATGAATCTTAGAATTTAAGAAACAAAATAAACAAATATGTTCAATGGGACCCATTATCTTGCCAAAGAATAAATAAAAATAAAAAATAAAATAAATTAACCCTTAAATGCATATAGTTGCATTTATGCAACGTTTTGAATTTTTATTATTCTGGCCTTATGACTACTGATACGTTGTTTAAGGTTATACCATTGTATTCTTTAAGTAATTCTGATTCTGATGTCTATTCAAAAAAATCCATCTATTCGTAGTTATTGGTCATCAAATATAGGTAATAATATTATTAAAAATATCATGCCTGTCAATATGTTTGAAAAAATAAAACAATTTTTACATTTTGTTGATAATAGTCAACTTATTCCATTCAATAGACCTGGACATGATAGACTTTATCGCATAAGGCCAGCTCTAGAATCATTGAATAAAACATTTAAATTAGTTCCTCTCGAAGAATGCTTATCAATAGATGAACAATTATGTTCTACCAAAGCTAGGCATTATTTAAAACAATATATTCCTATGAAACCTAATAAATGGGGCTATACGTTGTTTATTATGGCAGGCGTTTCTGGTTTTGCATATAATTTGGAAATTTATAGTGGACAAGAGAATAATTCGGATCTACGTTATCTAGGATCTAGACTGATTTCAGGAGTTTGGACATTTTTATTATTATTATACCAAAGATTGGTTTTTATATTATTATTTTATTTTAATACATAATGATTAGTTTTAAAATTGTTTTTTACTTATAATATTATATACATTTAAAAAGGCTGGTTTTAATTATATTATTCTCTTTAACATTCATTATTTATGCAGTGGTTATTTACCAAATTATTAAATTTAAAAACATAAGACTGGTACTTTTGATTTTGAATTGTTATACATACTATGATATAGTATGATGTTTTTGTTTTTAGTTTTTATATATAAAATGTTTTAAAGTTTAAAAAATAAAATTAAATTTGGACTATTTATTTGTAGTTAGCGAAAATATTAAAAATTGACTTTCATATTTATTTAGGTAATTCAAAATAAATGTTCCAGTTGGTGCACTGTGCGCATATAGTTGCATTTGTGCAATGGACTTAAAAGTTGTACTTTTCAAGGTTGTGTTTCAAGTTAGAATTTTTTAACTATTTTTTACAAACTCACCAAACTTAAATTAGTTAAAAACTTTTTTTCAATATAAAAAAAAAGACATGCAATTAAGTGTTAAGTTTCCTTTTAAATTATTTTATTATAATATGATTGATATATAAAACATGATAATTAATAACCGATCTGACTTAAGCTAAACATCAATAGGATAGTATTTTTGTTTTAATTATGTTGTACTTTTGTACTATAAAGTTTATTAAGAAAATAAATAGTATTTAAATAGTAAATACAAATAACAATGTATTTGGTGTAATCTGTAACAATGCTTAATTTTGTTTTTTTTTCATTTATCTAGTGGCTAAAGTAATATTTATAAAAATGTTCAGTTTGTAAAAAGGCATTGTTAAATATAAAGATTTTTATAAACCTAAAAACATTTAATTTAATAAATAATCTAAAACAACTAATCAGTAGTAACGTTTTATGTTCTATTTAAAAAGTATATAACTGTTGATTAAAAATTACATAACAATGAATTACAATTAATGAATTAATGAAGCCATTTTTAAGATTAAATTTTAAATAACTATTAACATAATTCATAAAAAAGATGTACCAATATAATTTATTAATATGTATTTATATTATATATGTATATGCAAGAAAACAATGTAATTTACCATACCTACTTTATTATATCACTTATTGGAGAGTAAATCTACACATTGAAAAATCTAATAAAATTCCAAAAAAAGTTTGACTTGCGGTTCGCGGACTTAATAAAATTCCAAAACAAATACCTACTAGATATTCACAAATGTTCTTAGCAAAAAAATGATTGACTACATGTCTACGTCATACAGATTACTAAAACTAGTAATATCGTTAATTTTTGTTGTACTAACCTGAGTACTAATGACTGAGCACTGAC